ACCAAAAAATAAAAGGACTCAGCTTGACTCTGGGGCAGTTGGGAGTAAACTCGCTGTAAACATTTGTGAGCAGTGCTTGGTGTGGACACAGGCTTCTCTCTTCTTTTTACTGGGTAGGTAGTGGTGTGACCCACCATGTAGCTTCTGAGAAGTCCTTCCTTCAGGGCTTTGGCATTGGGGGATTTAGGGGTTCCGGAGCAAGCCCTCAGATCCCGTGCATCTGCTCGGTGCTCCTGCGCTTGCTGCTGTGGAAACGTGTGATGGGTGCTTTGGCGAGAAACACCAAGGCCCACACAGCTTGAATGGCAGGAAACAAGAGTTGGTTGGAGGCAAACCTTCTATTGTTCCATGTTCTAGAAACTTGGGGAATGTGTGGACCAGCTTTCCCCACTGCTGGAGCTATCTGTATTTTGGAGGGGGTTCAGGGTAGGGCAGGATGCGTCAGATGGCATCTGCCACCTGTGGGCTGTGAGAAATGGCAGGGCTGGGGAAGGCTGTAAGGACAGAGCCACCTCCTGGGGTAGCTCTCAGCTTCCTGTCTGATTGGCCGCCTTCACCTTTCCTGAGACCCCATGGCAGACTGGCTCAGTCTTGCTGCCCAGAGCAGCTCTTACTGCCCCTCTTTCCCATACTCCTAGGACTTTTTTTTTTTCCTTTTATTCTCAAATTGAAATATGCGTGCTATATAAGATTTGCTGTTTTACCTATTTCTAAGTGCACGGTTCAGTGATGTTGCTGTGTAGCCATCCCTGGCATCCATCCCCAGGTCTCCATCTTCCACACTGAACTGCCCGTAAATGCTGGCCTGCACCCTAGCCCCTGCCCTAGCTGCCCCACTCCTATCTCTGTGTGGTCGTCCTGCTGTGATGGGCTCATTCCACAGAACGTCACATCTCTGGTCCCAGGAGTTTCTGGGCTGGAGTTTTATCCTCGTTATTCGCGGTTCCTCACCATAGGTGGCTCTCAGTCCCTCCCTCTGCAGGTCAGTCTTTTCTTTCCAGTCTGCCATCTCAGGTCACATTTTTTCTGTGTTCCTGGTGGGAATTGAGGGGTCACCTGTCTCCCCTCCCCCCACCCCTTGCCCCAGTGAACCTGGCAGCACCCCATCCCACAGGGCCACTGCTCCCTCTCCGAGTCCATTGCACCTGCCCTCCTTTGCTGCAGGGTGGTTTCTGCACCTGACCCGAATACTGGCATGTTCCAAAGCCTGAAGCTTTGTTGCCTTAAGCAGTTCTTGGGGTGCTGGCAGGCCCATTTTTGCACTTGTCACCCACCCTAAGCTCTGAGCCAAATGGCAGCTGTGTGACCACACACCTGCCACCTGCGTGGCCCAGTGTACTCGGAGGTGCCTTGTTTCAGTCTCAGGCCCAAGCCATGTGGGGCGCCTCTGAGGGCAGCCAGAAGCCTGTGACCACATGGCCCATGCCTGAGTGCTGTGACCTGTCAGATGACCTATGGGTGTACTTGGCCAGCCATTGTGTCTGCCTCCCACCAAACTATGAGGACTTTCCATCATAAACAGGAAATTTCATTCACCTGCAAAAAATGGACTTAGCTCTTTTACTTTGACCTCAGCTTAGGTGTCGACCAGGAACTGGGCTTGTGGCTGGGGTGGGGGCAGGGCAGCTCAGGGACTCTTCTTTCTCCTTTCTCTCCCTGCAGTCCTCCACTGGGTGGGGTTTGGGATATGACCTCAGCTCCCCAGGTGCTGTCCCAACTGCCAGGCCAAAGCCAACATGGCTGGTGAGCACAGCCCACTAGGTTGCCTCTGTTCCCAGAAACTCAGTTCTGGCATCGCTGCCTCTCCAGTGTGAATTACGGTTTCAGCTGTGGTGATGTAAGAATGAATAGTCTTAACAGGGAGAAGTTGGACCTCGCCTTTGCTGAGTGAGGAGCCATCCTAGTTCCTGAGTCATCGCTTTTGCAGTGCTGACCTGTGTCTACAGAGCCAGCCATAAAGGCGGCCTTGCCCTGAGGTCAGCAGGGGAGCGAGCCTGTGGCCCTGGGGCAGCGGCCACCTCTCCCAGCCCCTGCTTCCCTCATGCTGTTGGCTTTCGCCTTCCGGTTTTCTGCCGACATTTCAATCCCTGGGTGTCCCCTCCCTGCTCTTGGAGCCAGGGTGCCTACAGGGCCTTGTACCTTAGAGCCATAGCCTGTGATGGTGGCTGGCTGCTGGCATGGGTGACCTAGGACTTGCTTGGCACTCCCACACTTGAACACAGGAAGCCTGGGAGCCCTGCCACCCAGACTTTGGGCAGGGGCCCCTGGAAGGCAGATCAAAGTCTGGGCCTGTCTCCCTGATTGGTGGCCTGTGTCTCCCTGGGTTCTGGGACAGGAAAGGGTTACAGATCACAGCTCTGGGTAGGCCACCCTTGCCCAGTCCTGAGAGCATTGGGTTTGGAGCTTACCTTGTTTCAATGATCTGCTTCAAGCGCAGGGGCTGGCCTCTGACTTCAGCCAGGCCAGAAACCTGTCGCCCCTGGTTCCTTACCAGGGATTAAGTCTGTGGCTGCCCTGAGAGCCCTGCCATTGATGCTGAAGTTGTTTGAGTTTTACAGATGGAGAAAGCATAACTGAGAAGTTAGGAATGTGAAGTCCTAGAATCGAGCTGGAGCCTGGAGTTGAGTCCGGAGCCGTCTTATTTCAAGATGGCACTGGCTTTAGGCTGTCAGCTCTGAGGCACACTTGAACCCAGGTGGCAGCAGGAATGTTGTCTAACCAGGCAGAGCGTCCCTTCTGAGCAGCCCTGCAGTGGTGAATGCTCAGCTTAGTACCTTGGGGGAGTGGCTGCCTCTCTGGGAGCCAGGCTGGGACCCACATTCCACACGAGAGGCCTTCTTGTATGGGAGCTGCAGGCACCTACAGGACCAAGAGGTCTGCGCTGCCTCCCCACTTGTGACACACTCAACAGACCTCATGAGAGGGAAGGTGAGGGCTGTCTTGTCTGTGCCCAGCTCCTGCAGTCCTTATTCTCTGTCTCAGTCTGGAGAATGCATATCAGTCCCTGTGTGGTTGGACAGTTGAAACAGGCTGTGCGGGGAGGAAACTTGGTATTTTCGGGGCTCTTTCCTTAGAAGTGTCTTTGCTGCCTAGTCTCTGGAGCCTGACCACACTCTGGGAAGCATTTAGTGGTTCTGAGAGGACCAGCCTACATTCAGGGTGGTCAAGGACCTCTGTGTAGCAGGGGAAGAGCAAGGAGACTGAGCCAAAGGACAAGGTAGCTTGCTCAGATTCAACCAGAGAAGAAATGACACCTTGAGGGTTGGTGCCCAAGCTCCCCAAAGACGATGGGCCATTGTTTTCCCATGATTTAAGCCAGATATCTGATCATTTATGAGAAGCGTCATTTCTTGGTTATGTTGAACATGCAGCTTTCATCTTCAAACCCATTGTAGTTGCTCCAGTTCCTACCATTGCATCTGCATCCCAGTCCTCAGGGAGAAAACCACAGGGGCAGTTTTGTTTTGTTTTCTTTTCTTTTGCCAGGTGGAAGATGCAGTCTTTTTTTGGTTTTGTTTTGGTTTTGGTTTGTTTTGAGATAGGGTCTCACTATGTGGTTCAGGCTGGCCTTGAACTGCCTATGGAGCCCAGGCTGGCATCAAACTTTCAATGATTCTCTTGCCTCAGCCTCCCAAGTGCTGGGGTTACAGGTGTGCACCACCACACTTGGCTGAAAATGCAGTCTTAAGTGGAGGCTATGGGTCTAGCCAAAACTAAGTAGTTCTTTTATTATAGGGGAATTCCAATTAGTTCCTCTCACAGATGGCTTGGGTCACTTTCATTGGTTGACCTTGATTTGGCCTTAATTGGTTGGTGGGAAACAGGATAGAATAGGGTTTAGGGTTAAAGTCTATCTAATTCAGCCACTTTGTTTTAGCAAAGTACTTAACACCCTAAAAAGGAAGTGGTTTGTAGCACTTTGTAGGCTGATTATAGAGCAGAGATCAACAGACTTTCTGGAAAGGTCAAAGAGTCAGTATTGTCAGCTGTGCAGACCTCATGGTTTCTGCAGTGACAGCTGAACTCTGCTGTTGTAGACAAAAGCAGCCCTAGACATACAAATGAGTGGCTGTGTTTCAATAAAGCTTTATTTGCATAAGCAGATATGGTCCAGATTTGGTGCCTGAGCTATAGTGGGCCAACCCTTGTTGTAGAAAATAAGTGAAATTCTTGCCAAATAAGGAGCCTGGCATAGAAGTACGAGTGCTGCTGTCTGAGGGCACGCAGTTTACAGCTGCACCTATAGCCATCTCTGCCTGCTGTACTTCTGAGCCAGCTGTCCCTTGCTCAGCCACGTGGCAGATGGACAAGGACACCACCATGCTCTGCAGAAAGGAAAAGGGGAGACCTGGTGGTCCTGCCCTCAGCCTGTGGTGCTGTTCTGATGAGTGCATTCTGGGGGTTTGGAAGCTAATCCCTCATTGCCAAAGCTCACCCGTTTCTTTCCCTCAGGGTACGACTTTGCAGCCGTCCTTGAGTGGTTCGCGGAGCGGGTGGACCGAATCATCCTGCTCTTTGATGCCCATAAGCTGGACATCTCCGATGAGTTCTCTGAAGTCATCAAGGCTCTCAAGAACCATGAGGACAAGATCCGAGTGGTGCTGAACAAAGCCGACCAGATTGAGACACAACAGCTGATGCGGGTATATGGGGCCCTTATGTGGTCCCTGGGCAAGATCATCAACACCCCTGAGGTGGTCCGTGTCTACATTGGTTCTTTCTGGTCCCACCCACTGCTCATCCCAGACAACCGGAAGCTCTTTGAGGCTGAGGAACAGGACCTCTTCAAAGACATCCAGTCTCTTCCCCGAAATGCCGCCCTCAGGAAGCTGAATGACCTGATCAAGCGGGCGAGGCTGGCTAAGGTAGATTGGACAGGGCAGGGCCTGGGGATCGGAAACTGGCACTTGGAGCCTAATTTGCCCAAGACCCCTCCTACCAACTGCTGCACGGCTGGACCTGTGTGGCCATCCCATGCAGAAACTGCTTCTAGGAGGGCTTATATGGGAGAACCCTTGAGTGTGCATACAATTTAGAAACCCTGAGCAGGATGTTGCCAAGGAAGCAGCCCCAGAAGTAGTGTGGTGGGAAGGCCTTCTGCCTTCCAGAGTTTATTGCTGGACATTGGGAACATGTGCAGAGTGACACACACAGTCCCATACCAGCACTCTCCATCCTTGGGGGAATGCAGAAGGTGAAACTGAGAAAGAAAACTTCAAATGTTTATTGCTGGAAAGGCCCAGGTGCTATAGAAGTGGGCAGCTGGGGAGGCCTCACTCGGAAGGGAGCTACTAGCTAGTGATGCTGGGTGTGGTGGCGCACACCTGTTATCCCAGCACTTGAGGCTGAGGCAGGATGATTGCCGTGAGTTCGAGGCCAGCCTGAACTGCATAGTGAGATCCTGTCTCAAAAAAAAGAAAGAAGGTAGCTAATGAAGAGGTGGGCATCACTGTGGCCTGGAGAGAACACTGGGTGCTTAAAGCCATACCCCATAAAGTGGCAGTGTCCATATAGACCTTGTAAACTGAACCATCTAAGAGAGGAGTAGAGGAGGCTTGGTGCCTGGCCCAGTGAAGATCAGTGCCTCAGAGAGACAGAGGCACATTTTTTTTTTTTGAGACCGGCTCTCACTTTGTAGTTGAGACTGACCTGGAACTCACTGTGTAGCCCAGGCTGGTCTTGAACTCACAGATCCTCCTGCCTCAGCCTCCCGAGTGCTGGGATTACAGGCATGCACCACCACGCCCGGCTCAGAGGTACCTTTTTGGGATCACTGACTTTGGGTAGCCACATGAGTCCTGGGGAGGAAGGGTCCAGCACTTTGGAGTTGCCCCTTTGCACTGGAAGGTTTGCCATAGACCATGTGAATGACCAAGCAGTAGCCGAGTTAAGACATTTGCCCTTTAACAACTTGGCCAGCTGTTACCTCAGACACTTAGCACAGAGTTTTAAGAATAGGCTAAGCTGGGGATGGTAATACGTACCTGTGGTCCCAGTTATTGGGGAAGCTGAGGCAATAGGATCCCTTGAGTCCAGCAGTTTGTGTCAGCCTGGGTAACATAGTGATGATTCCCCATCTCTGAAAACAAAGCCAGGCTCTGGCTGTGGCTGCCCCTTGAGGCAAATCAAGCTTAGCTGGTGACCACTTTGTCAGCTGAGGCCAGTATAGGCCACACCATGTGTCACCCATTCTCAGTGAGACACTGCAGAGGGCAAAGTGTTCACAGCTGCCTGGAGCAACAGGACAGGCAGATAGCTTGTTGGTGTCCAGCTTCATGGGCAGCTGTGTGAGGACTGAGGACGGCACTTCCTGCACACGTATTGGTGCTGCTGCTTTGTAGCCACTGTCCCCAGGACCCTAAGGTACTGCACGCTGTCTTGAGGCCAGACTTAGGGCCGACGCTTCATCCTTGGCCACTACTGTCTCCTCTTCCTCAGCGTTAGGCTCATGGCTGACAGCCTGGTTCTCCACCCTGGCGGAACCCCAGTGGCATCTTCCATTGGCACTAGGGCTCCACACAGCCGCCTGCAGCCCGCATTTGCTTTGACTGTTTTTCTAGATCACTCCTCTCCAGATATCTGCAGTCTTCCTGCAAGTAGGGCCTGGTTTGAGAAAGAAGTTTTGAGTGGCAGAGCCCTTTCCCTCAGGGCTGCACAGAACCACCCCCCCAGTCTGTGGCCTGTGGCCACCATACCTCCCCCCATAGTGTGGAAGTGTCTGGCCCAAGGGCACACTGAGTCACCATGCCTGGAAAACCCCTAGGTCTCCAGCTCATCCCACACCTGCCTTCTCATGGCTTCCTTTTCTGGGAAGGCTCTGCTAGACAGAGCAGTGACTGGCTGTGACCCACAGTGTCCTACCAGTGTCCTGGGAAATCCTAGGTGGAGGGGAGTGCTTCCCTCAGGGGTCCTGAGCCCCGCTGTTGCCCACTGGTGGGATTGAGTATGGTGGAAACTGGCCTGGGAGGAGGGGAACCTGGCTGGCCATCCCTCGGCAGGCCAGAGGTTAGGGGCTGGGCTGCTGTGGGGGCTAGGTTAGCACAGAGAGGAAATGAAGGGTGGGCCGCCAGTTGGGAAGTGTCTACGCAGGGCTTACAGAAGCTTAGATAAGCTGGACACGGCCAGAGGGCAGTGGAACAGTGCCCTGGCCAGGCTCCTGATCCCTCACAGATTTGAGTCCTCAGAGTCTCACAGAGTTTGGAACTTGGTGGGTCTCTGGTGAGTCGGCTGGGCAGGGGCCCTGGACCACCTTTGGGAGACCCGGTTCTCATCTAGCTTCTGTGCTTAATGCCGGGGTCAGGCTTCTGAGCCTCCTCCAGGGCAAGGCTGAATTCTCCTAACCTGAGGGTTTAGGCAAGGGTGAGTGGAGATAACGCCCCACAGCAAGTGGTCTCTTGTTGGCAGGCTGAGCTTTGCTGATCCTAGATTGTCTTTGTGACTCATGGAAAGGATGTTGTTGCCTTAGGTTTCTTTCTTCTTTTTTTAAATTTTTGTGGTGGGAATTGACCCCAGTGCTTTCATACTGAGTTACATCCCCAGCCTTTCTTTTATATTTTGTTTTGAGACAGTCTCGATAGGCTGGGCTTGAACTTGTGATCCTCCTGCCTCAGCCTCCTAAAGTGCTTAGATTATAGTCCTTTCCCACCATGCCTGGCTTCCACCTGTTTCATGGGTGGTTTCCTTTCCTTTCCTCCTTCCCCGTGGCAGTGAGCTGTGAGCCTCTTGCTAGAATCCTTTGTCCTCCTGTGAGGACAGCAGCAGCATTGATTGACCCCAGCCCATCCATTTCCGGAGCCCAGAAAGCAGCTGGGGCTCATGCGGAGCAAGCCCTTGACTCCACCCCACCCTGTCCCCACAGGTCCACGCCTACATCATCAGCTCCCTCAAAAAGGAGATGCCCAATGTCTTCGGTAAAGAGAGCAAAAAGAAAGAGCTGGTGAACAACCTGGGTGAGATCTACCAGAAGATCGAGCGAGAGCATCAGATCTCCCCAGGCGACTTCCCAAGCCTCAGAAAGATGCAGGTACAGCCCTGAAGGGCGTCTCCCACATCCTGCTTCGGCCTGTGTCCTCCGGGCATGAGGAAGGCCCAGGGTGCTGGCTCAGGAGGGAATCCCAGCCCTGTGTGGTGGGCCTCCCTAGACAGCACTGGCTTAGTCAGCAGCACCCCGCCCACATCATCCCTGACCCAGGCTGTGACACTGAGGAGGGGAATGTGGTGACTCAGCTGGGGAGATTTAGGCCTTGCACTCCATGTATCCTGTTGGTGAATCTCTGCCACAACCCTGCAAAGAAGGGACTCCTGGGGCCCCAGGCCTCTGGGAAAGGAAAAAGGCTGAGGGGTGAGCTGAGTTGCCCCAGCTGGGGAATGGGGCAGCAGCCCTCTGCCTGGAGTCTGGGAGAAGCTGCCCACCCAAGCCCTCTTTCTCTCCTACTTCCTCAGGAGCTCCTGCAGACCCAGGACTTCAGCAAGTTCCAGGCCTTAAAGCCCAAGCTGCTGGACACAGTGGATGACATGCTGGCCAACGACATCGCACGGCTGATGGTGATGGTGCGCCAGGAGGAGTCCCAGATGCCCTCCCAGGCTGTGAAGGGTGGCGCCTTTGACGGCACCATGAATGGGCCCTTCGGGCATGGCTATGGCGAGGGTGCTGGTGAGGGCATTGACGACATCGAGTGGGTGGTGGGCAAGGACAAGCCCACCTACGATGAGATCTTCTATACGCTGTCACCCGTCAATGGCAAGATCACAGGTGCCAATGCCAAGAAGGAGATGGTGAAGTCCAAGCTGCCCAACACCGTGCTGGGCAAGATCTGGAAGCTGGCTGACGTGGACAAGGATGGGCTGCTGGATGATGAGGAGTTTGCCCTGGCTAACCACCTCATCAAGGTCAAGCTGGAGGGCCACGAGCTGCCCGCTGACCTGCCCCCACACCTCATCCCACCCTCCAAGCGCAGGCTCGAGTGACAGGCCTACCAGGCGGTCCACTCGCCATCTCCATCCCTGCCCAGGAAGACCGGGGCCTGGGGGCAGGGAGGGGTCACCACTTTTAAAGATCCATAAAGACCGAGTGCTGTTTCCTCAGCTTGAATAGGAGAAGCACCATCTTTCTTTTAAGGCAGTATCTCGGCCCAGCCAGGGAGGCAGGGGTGAGGCACAGATGTAAATGATGAAATTTTATGCACAAGAACTCTGGATATTTTTAATATATACCGTTAGAGGCAGCCTTCTTTCTTGCCGCCGCCTCCTCTGTTGGACAGTTCAATGAACACAGCCTCTCCTGTCCCAGCCTTTCCTCCTGTGCACTGTCCCTGGCTGGATGGCGTAGGCAGCTATGATGATCCTAGGGAGGCCGATGGCTCCTGGGGGCTGCCACCCAGAGCTGCTGGGAGACTGGAGCCGCCCCGTCAGTTGGTCTCTGTCTCCAAGCTAAGGCTCACCCCACCCAGCTCTGCCCTGGGCTTGGGCTGAGTCATTCCCTGTGCCTCTCCAGCTGGGGCTCCCCACACTCACACCCTGTCCTTTCTTGCACACCCCAACCCCAGCTCCCACTCAGCAGGGCAGTCGATGCAAGGCCCTGCCACTGCTGTCTTTTTTCAGGGCTGTGGAGAGGGGAGAGAGAGCGCGTCTTCCAGAAAGATGTATAAGCTAGGTCTTCTATACAGTGACACCTTTCATACTTGACCAAGTTTTTCAGTAACTTCAGACCACTTGTTTAAAGCTGTGATTTTTGCCTCCTTCCCTACGTGCCAGCCTATGGGTGGCTCCAGGAGCTGTTGAATGTGGGGTGTGTGTGTAGCACACCAGTTGTAGCCCAGATTTGCTCTCTGACCAAGGAGAGGCACCCAAAATCCTGCCTGATAGCATCTGAACTGTAGCCCCTTACTTCTCTGAGAGCTTCCTGATGCCCCCTACTTGGGGTGGGTGGTGCATCCCTGGGACTGGGTGTGGTTAGGTGCTGGCAGAGGAAGACTGAGGCTCTGGCCCGGACCCAGTTTCCAGGCAGCAGGGATGGGAAAACCTGGCCGCCTCTTTCCAGCCTCACCCGGCCCTCTGTCTTCCCCCTAGCCTGAGCAATAAGCCAGAGCCAGCAAACAGCCAGTTCAGCTGCCTCACACTGCACAGCCTTGGGGTCATGAGTGCTTGCTCTGCCAGTGGTCAGTCTCGAGGGCAGCCACTCTGCCGGGGCAGGAGACGCAGCACCGGGTCTGCCCAGCAGGAGCTCCAGCTGGGCCTCGGGGAGTTGCCCTGGCCTGTGTACAGCCTGCCCCCAGGCCTGCACTGCAGGTTCATTCAGTATTAGGAGAGGGTGGATGGAGGCACATCCTTAGTGCAGCAGGGGCTTGTTCACACTCATCTTTGGGGAAAAGGTAATTGAGACTAAAGACTGTTTTCCTTGTATTAAAGAGTTTTAACTGTGCTAATGCTGACTCCTGGTGCTCAGTTGTCTTTTCCAGGGCCAAGAGCCTGGAGCCCTCCCCTCTCAGGTCCTGTCGGGGTAGAGCATTTGGGGACCAAGCTGCCAGCAGGGGCAGATCGGCAGGCCTGCTAGGGTGAGGTGGCCATCCCTTCCCCGTCATGCTCAGCTGTACAGCAGCAGCCACCTCCTGTTAATATAACTGGGTCCTGGGCTGGGGATTTAGCTAAGTCGTTTCGCCACCTGCCTTGCAAGCTCAAGAACCCAAGTTCTATTAACTGGGTCCTTCAGATGGTTATAGGGTCCTAGGGGACCCCAAGGAATGAGAAACCCCCTTCCCTTGTAGGAAGGCTGAGCAAAAGTAGTTTGAGACAAAGCTAAAGGAATTGGGAAAAGTCTGATAACTGGGGACCGTGTGGGCCCCCCTTCTGCAATCAGCGCAGCCTCACCCCAACATCCACCCAGCCTGGGGCACATGGGAAGAGAACCAAGGGGCCCTTAGTAGCAAGAGGGTTGGCATCTGGTCAGCAGGGTTTCTGAACTCAAGCACCTGGCTCCATGCTTATTCTGAGGGGTTAAAGACAGAGAAGCGCTCAGGACAAAGCAGATAACTGGCAACAAAATCCATACTCATGAAGGGGCCTGTGATGTCACAGGGAAGGGTGACAGACTGGGAATGGCATGCCCACAGAGGTCAAGGTAGAGGTGGCAGAGCCAGGGTATGAGCCGGGTTTCTCTCCAGGGTTGAGGACTCTGCTGTGCTCCAAGGACCTAGCAACTGTGTCCCAACTGGCCTCGTGGTCCATATCTGAGTCCCAGAATGTCATAGCCCTCCTGTGCCACACATTTGCCTCCTGTGTGGATTCGCCTAGAACCTCAGGACCCAGGGGGCAGTGTTCTCCCTGTGTCACTGGAAGAGTGCAGGACAGGCGGTTGTGAGCAAACAGCAGTGGTAGCAACGGAGATTCCAGTGTGGAACTTCCAACACTATCCTGATTTCCACTGTATCTCATTAAAAAAAAAAAAAAAAAAAAAAA